GTAGGACAATTATAACTACTGTAGAAAGTTTGTGAACGTGGTCACACAAAATACTGTACTGTAGTCACCCTTGTGATGATGTGCAATGATAAAATGCCTATGTGATGAGATGAAGTAAGGTGAATGACAGCAGGCATTGTGACATAGCATTAGGCTACCATTGACCTTCTGATGATACATAAGAATGTGGATCATCTGCTTCCGTTGATCCTGGATCATGGAACCATGGTAATGTTCATGATTGGGGAAATTTAGTGTTTTTGGACCGCAGTTAACCATGGGTAACTGAAACTAAAGAAAGTGAAACCTCAAATAAGAGGAAACTACTGTATAATATATCAAGTCATCATACATCTACCACACAGCTGTCACCAGGAACTAAGGCAGTATACCTTTTAAAGAAGGCTTTGGAAACAAATTATTTTCTGACAGTCAAAATGTGTATTCTAGAAAACAAGCTATTCCCAAGGGTTCAGTGTTCAGTCAGACACAATACAGAGATATAGTCTGTTGTGTGCTGAAGTTCTAAGTCTTAATTTCACAATAAATTGACTACCAATTAGGTTTTCACAGTGTCCCTGCAAGCATCAAATAAGTCCAGCACTCCTTAAATTGTGCAACAGCAACAAACTGTACATAGTCTGTTTTTGCTTAACTTTGTATTCAACATAAAAAGTAGACTTTCATCAACTAAACTTCATGCCAAAACATGAAATGAATAGAACTTATGAAACAGATGCCAAAGATCAAGGCACAAACCCTGTTATGAAAATCAATGAATTGTTTGGAATATGTATAGAGCATTTATCTAGTATTTAGCCAGTGAAATACAGAAACACATAACCATGCCTCTGCTTTGTATTACATCATTGCTATTAGGACAAATTTAATGATAAAGCAAATGTTACATTTACAAGTCATAAACTATTAAAAACACATTAATCCAGAATAAACTTAGGAAAGATGTAATTACTAAAATATTTAAAATCTTACATCCAATTTTGTAATAAAAGAGGGAATATAAGATCCTTGGGAGCAGAGATCTTGACTTATCAATCTCTGAATTTTCAGAAATACTTAGAATAATGCCTGACACCTAATAGTTGTTCATTAAATAAATGTTGAAGACTGCCAGTCAAGATGGTAGGCGTAGGTAAACATGGTACTGCCCTCCTGCTACAACCACGTCAAAACTACAACTAACTGCCTGAAATCTGGCCGAAGATAAGTTCTGCAACTATGCAATTAAAGACGAAGCCACATCAAAACTGGTTGGAAGGGCAGATACAAAGAATGGCCTGGTCCCACAGCCATATGTGGCAGGTAAAAATTGGGAGGGATATCTTCCATGCAGAGGACCCTCCTGAGGAACAAGGGGTCCCAGCCCCATACCAGGCCCTCCATTCCAGGGTTCCAGTGCCAGTAAGAGAAGTCCCCATAATGTCTCCCTGTAAAACCAGTGGGGATTGAGTTTGAGGGAGATGGAGGACTTCTAGAGTCCCAGGCAGTTCCTCTTAAAGTTCCCATGCATGGACTTACTCATACTCACTTGCTCTGGGCTCCAATGCTGGAGCAGTAGCTCAAATGGCATTAGGGACATACGAGGAGGAACTGAATTATCTGTCATCAAGGTGAGAACTTGGGGGTCAGCTTTCTTCCAGACAGAAATGTTGGCAGAGGCCATTGTTCCTTTGATGAGCCCTCCCTTGACAGAACTGGCAGGCAGGCTCTGTATCTGAGACTCCATCAACCTGCCTCCACTGTTTGCCCTAATCTGGTGATTCCCAGAGGCCCAGCCCACCCAACTTTCAGGGCTTCCCAAGCAGTTTCCAGTGGCTTTACACACAAATGGCCTGTCTTGGCTCATGCTTCAGATTTTCCTAAAAATCTCTCAAACAAGCAACATTTGTCCTCAGCGTGCTCCATACCTCTCACCAAGTGTCCTCAGGTTTGGCACTAGCAGCAGCCAGCCTTGGTTTGCAACTTAGCCTCACCAGGGCACCTCTAAACCCAGCACAAGTAGGAGCCATCTGCAGATCACTTTGTATCTCATGCCAGGTGGCCTCAGGCAGAACATAGGCAGCACCTGACTTTGGCTGGCACCTCCCAGAGGCCCCAGAGCCAGCACACCCAATGGACAGCTTCAGAGCACATTGAAGCACCACTACCATCTAACCACCTCTAGAAGCAATGCACTCAAGGGGCAGACTCAGCAGGCATCGGAGCCCCACTGAAGTAAATCCTGTTTTGTGGAGTGGGCCCCTGCATAGCTGAATCTTCACAGTGGTCAGTGGTCAAAGTCAGTCCTTGCAACTGATCTGCCTGGGGGTAAATCCCTCCCATTGATGTTCCAACAGCCATGAAGGCTCAACTACAAGAGGAGGGTATACACAACCCACACAGGGGGTATACCTCAAGTGTCCAGCTTAGGTGATTAAGGAGACAGTGCCACTGGATCCTATAAAACATCTACTACATCAATCCACTCTACCAAGCCTGGGAGACATAGCAGCTCTACCTAATACATAGAAACAAACACAGGGAGGCTGCCAAAATGAGGAGAAAAAAGAAGCATGGCCTAAATGAAAAAAGAGAACAAAATGCCAAAAAAAATACCAACAAAATAAAGACAAGCAATTTACTAAATGCAGAGTTCAGAAAACTCATTATAAGGATGCTTAATGAACTTAGTGAGAACCTCAACAGTATAAAAAAAAGGACCAGTCAGAAATGAAGGATACACTAAATGAAATGAATAATTTACAGGGAATCAACAGTACAGTACATGAAGCAGAGAATCAGATCAGCAATTTGGATGTAAGGAAGCAAAGAACACCAAATCAGAACAGCAAAAAGAAAAAAGAATCCATAAAAAATGAGAATAGTGTAAGGTGCCTCTGGGACATCTTCAAGCACACCATTTGCATCATGGGATGCTGGAAGGAGAAGAGAGAACAAGAAATTGAAAACTTACTTGAAAAAATAATGACAAAACTTCCCTAACTTGGTGAAGGAAATGGACATACAAGTCCAAGAAATGCAGAGACCCCAAACAAGAAGCATCCAAACAGGCTCACACCAAGAAACATCATAATTAAAATGATAGAGGTAAAAGAGAAAGAGAATCTTAAAAGCAACAAGAGAAAAGCAGTTAGTTACCTATGAGAGAGCTCCCATAAGAATGTGAGCTGATTTCTCAACAGAAACTTTGCAGGCCAGACGAAGTGGCAAGAAATATTCAAAGTGATGAAAAGCAAGTAACTACAACCCAGATTACTCAACCCAGCCAAGCTGCCATTTAGAATTGAAGGACATATAAGGAGCTTCCCAGACAAGAAAATGCTAAAGGAGTTCTTTACCACCAAACCAGTATTACATGAAAAGTTTAAGGGTCTTTTTCATAAAGAAGAGCACTGGCTGGTGTGGCTCAGTGGATTGAGCACCAGCCTGTGTGTCAAAGGATCACCAGTTCAATTCCTGATCAGGGAACATGACTGGGTTGTAGGCTAGGTCTCTGCAGGCATGCGAGAGGCAACCAATGGATGTTTGTCACACATTGATGTTTCTCTCCCTCTCTTTCTCCCTCCCTACTCCCTTCTTTAAAAAATAAATAAAATCTTTTTAAAAAGATAAAAATATGAACATAAAAATGGTGATAAATACATATCTATCAAAAATTGAATCTAAAAAACAACGTAAGCAGAACAGAAACAGACTCATACATACAGAGAACACTTTGAAGTTTGCAAGATGGGAGGGGTGTTGGAGGGATGGGTGAAAAAGGTGAAGAAATTAAGCACAAATGGGTTGTTATAGAATAGTCATGGGGATATAAAGTACAGCATAGAGAATATAGTCAATAATATTCTAATAGCTATGTGTGGTGTCAGGTGCCAGAGTTATCAGGATGATCACTTATAAGTCATATAATGTCTAATCACTAGGGTGTACAGCTGAAACTAATGTAATAATGTATGTCAACTGTAATTGAAAATTTTTTAAATGATTTAAAATTTAAAAAAAGGTTAAAGGTGAATAAGAGCCACAGTGATGGCAGGAAACAAGTACATTAAGCCAAAAGGCTATTTTTATCTTGAGTTTCAATGAAGAACCGAAGAAAATAGACTATGAGTCTCTGTAGACTTGTAATGCAGACTTTTTGGAGGAGGAGAATCAGCAGAAACCAAGAGCAGTGAGGCTTCAAGGTTGTAGAAGGCAATGAGGTCTTTGGCCACAGAGAATTGACCACATATGAGAGTAAATATACAGGGGTGGGCAAAAGTAGGTTCATACGGAAAATACAATAATTGATAATATACAACAATGAATTCTGTTTCATCTACTCACAACTGTAAACCTACTTTTTCTGACCCCTGTGCATATACAAGCACATATTCTTCCATGGTTGCACATTACCCCAACAGAATCCTCAGATCATTTATGTGAATGGAACAGGAAGGAATAAATATAAAGTTTGTTCCTTTTTGTTACTCACAAAAAACTAATCTTTAATTGGGAAAATGGCTCTGTAGAAATTGCTCACTATACCTGTGCCTCTCCTACTCTTTCTTCTTACCTACTTTCTGTGGAAACTCTGAATGAAGTCAGAAGGGTTTCTGGACTTCTGTGATACCAGTATTAGGCTGATATGCTCAGTGGCAGAGAGACTCCTAGGCTAGGAGGAAGGAATAGGCAACCCAGAGGAAGAGAGCCATACTTCTTAGGGTGCCTGTGGCAGTGGACGCATGTAGTACAGGGGAGGCATGCAACAGTGAGGCAAGGCATATGGATTAGAAAGAGGCCTTCTGAAAGAAAAGAAAGAAAGAAAGAAAGAAAGAGGCCTTCTAGCCTAGGAAAGTGAGAGACTCCCAGAAGTCTGGGAGTGCTAGAGAATAAGAGAACACAAGATTCAATAAAAGTTAACTTGAATTAATGGGGACTATGAGTGATGTGAGTAAAGTTTAGAATCCTTATTTGGAATGTCTTCTGTTTCCTCATAGCTCTGGGCTGATTCTCTGGGGCCTCTGGATTCACTGGTGTTACAGGTATCACTTCTTCTAAGGAAGTTATTCAAGGGAAACAATAACAATAGCAATAACACGAGCAGAAGGTACTATCATGGGAGAGTTGACATCTACCACAACAAAGGCAGAAATGTTTGGCACAGGAAGCCCAGGGACATCTTCCTAAGGCTGTTGGTCAAATTATACAGGTTTCTGAGAAAGCAAACCAACACCACCTTCAACCAAGTGGTACTGAAGAGGTTGTTCATGAGTCCCCCCACTGGCAGTCTCTGTCCCTTTCCCAGATGATCTGGAAGATGAAGCTTCCTAGCCAGGAGGGCAAAACTCCTATGGTTGTAGGGACTACAATCAATGACATGCATGTCCAGGAGGTGACCAAACAGAACATGTGTACACTTTATGTAAGCAGCTGTGCCTGGAGCTGCATCTTCATGGTTGGGGGCCAGATCCTCGCTTTCGACCATCTGGCTCTGAACTTGCCCAAGAGCTCTGGCACCGTCTTGCTTTCTGGTCCTCGCAAGGGAGGAGAGGTTTACAAGCATTTTGGCAAGGCCCCAGGAATCCCTCACAGCCACACCAAACCCTACATTCGATCGAAGGGCTGGAAGTTCGAGTGTACAAGAGGCCTATGGGCCAGCCACAGCTACAAAACAAACGCTGGATGCGACTTGGTTATTAAAAAGATTTTGGATGCTGAAAAAATGAAATAACTAAGTGTTGAATTAACATGGTAATTATGAAGAAGAATAGGTTTGAATCTAGTCTTTGACATTTTCTAGTTGTGGGACATTGGACAAGTCCTGTAAGTTCTCTGACCCTCAGTTTCTTCCATCTGTAAAAGGAATATTTTTTTTCTGTTTTTCCAGTGTTATTTCTTTGAACACCTCCAAGCAATTCTCTACTTCTCAGTGGACACTGACCAGATAGGCTACAATTTAATTCAGTTCTAATACTCTCTACCCGAAGATAGTGTCAGATCCCACAGGTTAAGGGCTCAGTCCTATAAGACTGAGAAAAAAGTGAAGGTATGTCTATGACACCCCCTTATCCTTTCAGATGACAGTAGCAAATCCAGGTCAGCTGTGCCTCTCTGACTGAATGGCTGTAGGTTGACCTCTATAAGGCCACTTACAACATGCTAGCTGACTTCCTCAAAGTGAACCAGTGAGAGAGTGCCAGTAAGAGAGAAGTCACAAATTTTTATAACCTAATTTGGGAAGGGTTATCCCTGCAATTTTCTTTTGTTCAATTCATTAAAAGAAAATCCACAGTGAACCAGGATACAGGCTCTCGACAGACACTGAATCTGCTGGCGCCTTGATCTTGGACTTCCCAGTCTCCAAAAGAACTGAGAAATACACTTCTGTTGATCATTTAAAAAAACAAAAGTGGGGTGGGGGGGCAGCTAGATTCAGCCCACACTCAGAAGGAGAGAGTATCACACAAAGGCATGAATAACAGGAGGCAGTGATCACTGTGAGCCATTTTAAAAGGCTGCCTCTTACAATCTCATAGTGGTCAAGTTGCTTATCCAATTTTACAAAGCTTATATGTAGCAAACCTGAACTTCCAAATCACATCTGCCTGACTACAAAGCCCACAGTGTTTCCATCTATTACTCTTTTCTCGATGAATGCATAGGAACAATGTCGAGTTGGCATATACTCATCTAGAATCTAATGTTAAAAATCTGTTTGTTCTCTAGGATAGAATAAGCAAGCCATCTCCGTCCTAATTGTTTTTCCTAGGATTGTTCATCCCAGTCATTTTCTTCATGATAGCACAAGTTACACCTTTTCCTTTTTTGGTCCATTGTACTATAAATTCTAAATTTTAGTGATACCAGAAGTTTCATGTTTTAAAAATTATCTGAAATGTGAATTACCGCTCGGCAAGGCCATCTAAGAAAAATAATCTGGTGGACACACTAGTGTTGCTGATAACCTAGAAAGTGTATCTTTTCATTTGTTAATTTATTCATAGTTGAATGGAAAGGACATAGCCATTTGTAAATGAACAATAAAGCTGTATACAGGAGCTATGTAAATTCAGAGACAAATGTGGTTAGTTATGAGTCAAAAAATAAAAGAAAAAATACTTTGAGTCTTGAAGAATGAATCTGAGTTTACCAGGTGATACAGGCACAGAGTTATTAAAAACAAAAACAAAAAACAGGGCCCAAGATTGAAGATTACCAAAAGATTGGGAGTTTCGACAACTCCCTGAAAGTCGAAAGCAAGAGTCAGATTTCAAACTCAGAGACAATGGATACAGGTAGTTGAGAGGGTCAGGGTAAGGGGAGGGCATAATATCTTAGAGCAACCATAAAGGGTAACTGGGGAATGGAATTTGAAACTTCTGGTTTAGTTGGCTTCTCCCTCCACTCACCCATCAAAGCTAAGGGTATCCTGAAATGGTATTTCCCCCTAGGCTGACACAGTGACTCTAGAAGGCTGCAGCAGTTTCCCACCAGGTAGTAAGTACTCTAGGTAGAAGCTACATCCAGGAAAGGAAGCCTAATTTCACACCCAGAATATTAGCCACTGGCAAGCGCTGTTCAAGATTATATATCATTCTTCCTTCACAATCACCAGGGGGAAAAACTAGGAAAAACAGAAACAGCATCATGCACAGAGAAAAAGGATTAGCAAAATGAGAACATAAAAAACCACAAAGTACCCAAGAAAGACCAATACCATAAAGGGGTGACAACAATCAACAAAAGAACTGACCACTGAAGCAAATAGTTATCAGTAAACAGAGGAGGATCTTAGAAATAATAGTTATAATATTTAGTGCATACTAGGTATAGTGTCAGGCATTGTTCTAAGCACCTTACATGTATTTTTTTATTTAATTCTTACACAGAATCCAGAGGAATGTGAGAGAATATTGCATCTAACTTTTACATAAAAGATTAGTTAAAGATTGTTAAAAATTAAAAGATGGTCTAAACAGCCGATGGACTTTGATGAAGAGCAAATTAGCAAAACTGGAAGAATAAACTGAAGAATTATTCCAAAAGAACAAAAATATCAGCGGAGAGGTGATTTAATAAACATTAAGAAACAAGATAAAGCCAGAGACTCTAATATCTCATTGTTCTGAAGAAGAGGTAAGAGAGAGTTTTAGAGCAGCAAAAATGAAGAAATGATAGAAGAAAAATTCCTGGTATGACTAGTATAATGTAGAAGAAATATTTAATGCCATTTGTATTTTTTTAATGATCAAACATTATTTAAGTGCATCTTATTTTTTTATTGCCTCATTGCATCTGAAACTTCATCACTTTATATATTTCTAAATTACATATTCTGCATGTTTTCATGGTAATTTTGATTTTTATTTTAATTATAATTTAAAATAGCTTTTAATTTGAAATTAATTTAGATGCAGAAAAGTTGCTAAAATAGTACACATGCCCTCCATGTTGCTTCCTGTAATGTTAATCTCTTACATAACCATAGCATAATTGTAAAAATTAATAAATTTAGTATGATATCATTAACTAAACTACAAACATATCTTATATAAACTAAAAGAAAAAGCAAAATTGGAATGATTAACATATTTAGATACAGGGTGGGACAAAAGTGAGTTTATAATTGTGATTATGTGAAACAGTTTATTCTTGTATTATTTAATAATTACTATATTATTTTCCATATGAACAACTGTGAATCAACTTTTTCCTCACCCTGTATACATAAACAGAACAAAGGAGATGGGTAGCTACCACTTCCTCATTTTTTTTGTTTTTAATTTTTTTTACTTATTAATTTTAGAGAGAGAAAAACATCCATTTGTTGTTCCACTTATTTATGCCCTCATTGGTTGATTCTTGTTTATACACTGCCTGGGAATGGAACCCCTCAACCTTAGCATATCAGGACAGTGCTCTAACAACTGAGTTACCCCACCAGGGTCTATGTCCTTATTTCAACAACTGGTCTTGAGGATCTGTTTAAAACATCCTTCCATCGTCATCTCCATATTCATTTTGGCAGCATCTACAGTTGGTTGAGGTTTTTACATGATGTGGTGATCTTCATTCCTGAGGAATGAGCCCTTGGTGATTCTGCTTGAATTGAATTTGCTATAGTTTCCTATTAACTTTTACTAATGTACTTGGCAATACTAGGAGGTGATCCAAAGCATCCCCTGAGTTCAGACATTCTCATCCTTGCTCCATTATGTAGCAGCAATCAGATTTCCTTTTGATACCAAGAATTAATCATTTCAACCTAAACTGTAACCTCCTCCCCCCCACCATGGTTTCAATGTTACAAAGAGCCAAAAATGATCAACTAATAATATAAACTTCCCTTTAAGTAGAGCCATTGTTTGGTTTTCTGGGAAGGGCATTTCTCCCTTGAATACTAAGACCTATAAATTGACAAAGATCAAAGTTGTGGGAATAGAAAGCACAACAGTTTATGAGTAGATCATTATGTATAATGGTGAAAGTGTCTATCTCATACCTGGGTTCCAGCTCATGTATTGCAGATAAGGAAGAAACAACACTCTACATTAGTAGCTAGTTTACAGCACATAATGCTGTGGGACAGAAGTAGGCAACTTTCCTGTAAAGGGCCAGATAGTAAATATCCCACCCTTTAAGGACCACATATGGTATCTGTCACATATTCTGTTTTTGTTTACAACCCTTAAAAAGTGTAAAAGCCATCCTTAAAGGTTATACAAAAACAGAATACAGGCCAGGTTTAGCCTTCAGACTATAATTTGTTAATCTCTGCTATAGACTAACACTCTTAACTTTGCAAAGTGTTCTCTCCCTGTTGACACTGGAATTGAGTCTTCAAAAGACCACTCAAGACTTCCAAAAGCCAGCTGCTACTGGATGATGGGGATGTGCAGTAAAACCAGTAAGTTTTATGTGCATGTTATTCTGGGTCAACGAGGATTAACACCACAGTCTGATAATCCCTTAAAGGTTAAGGTGTCTTTATACCCCCTACCCCCCAGCATAGTTTTATCCTGGTAAATAGCTGTGTGTCCCTCTGGGAAAAGGTTGAGAGAAAGATTTACACATACTTTTAATGTTATCACAAGGTCTTTTCTCAAAGGTACCTACTATACTCTGTATTCAAGAGCCTCTGGGCCTATGAACTTTCCAGGACTAGGAAATGAGTGAAGGCTGTTACTCTTAGTGGTGTCTCTAATCAAGCCTCTGTTTTTTCCATCCTAGAGTTTGTTCAATTACATAAATAGTTAAGTCCTTAGTGAGCTACCCATCTATTTTAGTACTGGAAGCTCTATGATCAATTAACCTCTGTAGTTCTTCACTGTAGTTCAAACCTTTCAATTACCACTCTGATACTACTTTGTTTTGGAAATTGTGCCCCCTGTGTCTATAGCAGTCATGTTCTGCTATCTGGCTTTTGCCACCTAAGGGTCCTTCACCATTATTGAAATTAGAAAGCCCATTTTAATGGCAAAACATGCAACCTCTATCCCTAGAGGACAGCCACTACATTAATGTTTAGGGATGCTTGAGCTGTTCTCATCAATTTATTTCTTCATGCTATATGGTGATGAAAAGGTGTGCTCTACGCACTTTTTGGAAACAGAGGTGGAGGATCCAATACAAATAACAACCCTTTTCAGTGTTGCTTTCCTCACAAACCTTTGGGACTTGACTTCAACATTATATCGAGAAATGTATGGCAACCCAAGTTTATTTACTCTAATTCATCAGTTGAGTTGTTCCTAACTAACCACCTGAGAATAATCAGACCACTCCTAGATACCTGAACTCCTACATTGACTCCAAAATATCTGTTAAGTGTTCTCTTATCAATAAACTCTTCTTTCCCTAGTCTTACACCTTCAGAATCTATTCCTACACATATTCCCCAGCTTTTGCTAATGCAGTTGAGCAAAATCTTGCCATTCTTCTGGCATGTAATCTTTTTTTCCCCAGATTTACTTTGTAATTGGTTCACTGAATCATGCCAGGGCCTGAACTCTATAGGTTTGGAGTTAGTAAGAGAAGCCAAGGAGAAAAAGGAGAAAAATTGATATCCCTGTGCAAGATGAGACCTGCATTATCTATTATTGTATAACAGCTCAAAAATTAGCAGTTAAAAATGACAAGCATTTCAGATAGATTCTATAGGTCAGGAACCTGGAAATTGTATAGGTGGGTGGTTCTGGCTCAAATTATTTCATGAGCTTGGTGTCAAGATGTCAGCTGAGGTCACAGTTATCTGAAGTCTTGATGAGGTTGGAGGATCTACTTCCAAGATGGCTCACTCACATACCTGGCAAGTTAGTTCTAATTATTGGCTGGAGGTCTCAGTTTCCCACCACGTGGTATTTCCTATG